TCAATCCTTCCTTTTGTGGAGCGTGGAGAAAGGTGCGAAATGAAAGGCCAACGACCACAAAGCTGGTTTCTGCATGTGCAAAAACGGAGGACTCACTCCAAGGGCAATTGAAAATCGGCGAAAGGGGGAAGGGATGTTTTCCTTCAAGGAGAAGCGCTTATCCTTTACATTCCGTATAAAAATGTAGTCAAAAATGGAAGGAGTGTCAGTAGTTGAGTCTTCCACGTGGAATGAAGAACTAACTTGAATATTCGATAGTTTTTCTCTCGGAATATGTTGGCAAGAGTGTTTTTCGAAACGGGTAACGAATCTTTTGGACGGTGTTTTCCTGTCACAGGGGTTTGTTTTCTGCTTCGAGGCGGTGATGGCAGTTCAAAAAATAATGTTTTGAATTGTTGGATTTTTATTTTTTGTATTACAGTTGTATCGAAATCAACGAACCCTTTTTTCTATTGTTGAAATATGTTTACTTCAATGTTCAATTTATCTTATGCCTTGTGCTAATGCTTTCAATGATTTCCTTGAGTTCTTTTATTTTAAAGAGGATTCAAATTGCTGTGAAAATCCGGGCAGTGTCTATGCAATTTTTTCTCATCAGTCCGATTGTTTGCCAATAAATTTGATAAACGTAAATCTCGTATAATTTGTGTTCTGTTTTATTTTTGGGTGCCATGATCTAGTTTCTCGAAGTATTGATTACTGGAACTGCTGAATGACCTAAATCCCCGCGTATATTCTGCGTGGTTTTTGTCATCCAGCCCTTCTTGTTTTCCTGATTCTGTATGTTTCTTTCATGGTTTTTCAATATGAGGATGTTGCGAACATCTGGACATGACACGAAAACAATGCTGAATGTTTCCCGAGTTGTGTCTGGTAGTTGGCTCATGTATCTTCTTCAAATACTACATCACGCCTCATAGTTCCTACGTTGGAGGACCGTAGCACAGAAAAAATGAGTCTCTGAATTATGCTAGTTGATTGTGCATGCATTTGTATATTTTTTCTATCGAAAATCTTGTGAAGGTGTTTTTATACTGAGGGTGTTTTTGTAAAGTTAAACATTTTACTCTTAGCATGCTTGGGCAGCTGGTGACATGTTTTTCAGTGTATTGATGTACTTCTGTTAGTTATATATTTGTTTTTGAATGTGGATGATCGTAAATTCGACGACGGGTCGATTAATGCGGTTTTATGACATTCGGAAAATATGTCACAGCGGGCTGCGTTAATTGTTTCGTCATCTTGCTATAGTATTGCTGTCCCAAAAGAAAATTGAAAATGCAGAAACCTCTGGTTGAACGTTTTTGGTAGTATGTTGTATGCGTTTGAAAAAAATGTTCGTTCAAAGCTGGTTACAAGACTCTGGTGAACTGTTTATGTTTCACAGGTTTTTGTTGCTTGCTTTGTGCATTTTTACATAAGTTAATCTTGCACGCCTCATTTATTTTTGATCAGAGAAAAGTGTTTATCCAAAGCATTGATGTATTGAATATATGGCCTGATTTCATTGCATCCAAATCGGATGAACTGAAAATGAATACGATGCCGGATTTCCTGAATGACCCGATTCCCCGTTGATTTTTTCGAGGTTTCCCGTCATCCAGCGCTTCTTGCTTTCGCATGTTTAATTCGTCTACATACTGCGAAATTCATGTTGATTAAAGATTTGAAATGTTTCCTGGATATTTCTCAGGGAGGAAATATCGATGGAAATACCTTTTGAACAGTGTGTTGTGCAAGTAGAACGTTCTCCTTTCTTGTAGAATGCTAAAACTGCTGACATGGTTTTTAAATGTCCATTCTTGGGTATTTGTTTTTGAATTGTGGATTATGGCTACTTTGATGACGGGTCGATTAACACGGTTTTATGTCATTGTGACAAAAAGTGTCTCAGGGCTGTGTTAATTGTTTCGTCATCTCGCTTTTGCATTCATCCCGTGCATTCATTTCAAGAAAAAATGCAGAAGCTTTTAGTTGAACGTCTTTGATGCTACGTTTTTATGTTCGTAGCACCGAAAAATGTTCAGCCCCTGGCCCACGCATCGATTCTACGAACAACAGGATTTTTCCACGAGTTTGTGGAAATTTAGAGTCTTCAACATTCAATTACTCTGCAACTGTTCAGATGACTACTTCAATTTCTCGAATTGAATACTGGGACTGCTGAATGACCAATTCCCCGCGTATATTCATCAGCGGGGGTTTTCTCATTCAACTTTTCCTGATTCCGCGTGTACTGTTTTGATGCTTCATCTGGAGATCACGTCATTTTTAGAATATATTAAATTATTCAAATTGAATAAAGAAATAATGCAAATCTTTGAATACCAGAGCTGCTGAATGACCAAATCCCCGCGTATATTCAGCGAGGTTTTCGTCATCCAGCTTTTCTTGTGTTCCTGATTCTTCATGTACAATGTTCGATGTGAAAATTCATGTTGCAATGCGCATCTGGACTTGATTTGGAAAAATGTTCACGCTATGTCTCCCGAGTTTTGCCTGATTGTTCATCTGAATGACCAATTCATCCTCGCGTATATTCATCAGCTAGGTTTTTCTCAATCAAAGTTTACTGATTCTGTTTGTACTGTCTTAATGTTTCATCTATGAAGTAGTTGCGAACATCTGAAAATTATATCATTTTTACACATTTCATTCCTTGAGTCCAAATAATTATTCAAATTGAACAAATTCAAATCTTCGAATACCAGAGCCGCTGAGTGACTGAATCCCTGAATCAGTGAGGTTTTCTTCATTTAGATTTTCTTGTTTTTGTTTGATTTATTCATTGCGAAAAATTTACTTTATTTTTTATTGTGATTGACGAATCTGTTGAGATTCTCATTGACTGGATGTTTGCATTTTTTGATTGGCGTTTTAACCTTATATATACTGTATATTTATATTGATCTAACATTTTTGAATATCTTTTATTCTGTCAAATTGTGTGTCACAACTCCAAAAATGATTTGTCAATTCATTGTGCAGAATGTTAATTAGACTTCTCTACGCGTTATCACTTGAAAAAATATAACTGCTGAATGAACAACTCCACGCAAAAATGGCGATGTTTCCATCATTTCGCTTTTTTGTATTTCTGCTCTTCGAATTTGTCAGGATATCGAATTGATGGGTTCACTTTGTCGGCCATTATCGTTATTGTCAATGATTTCCTCATCTGGCTACAAACTTACTGCGGACGTTCCTTGTTGTCACAGGGGTATGTTGCCAACTGAGTATTTCAGGATTGATAACGACATTTTTTCCTCTACCAGAGAAATTTTTAATTAATACTACTTGTGTATTTGCTGATGATGTGCTTCCATCACCATTTCATTTCCTTGGATGGTTGTGTCTGCCATGGAAATTTGTCAAATAATTACTTCGGGGCTGCACATTATGTTATGACAGTGGAATGGAAGCCCATAGGCAATGTTAAAATTTTTTAGTACTCGGGGAATTTTTTTCTCATTTTTTCCTCAAGAATTTTGGGCCAACGGATTTTTTTCTCCTACATCATGGAGCTGTAAAAAAGTTATATTATATCTATAAATGTTCCATGGATTCCATCACTAGTCTTAATATTTACAAGTCCACGGGTGTTTCTAACGTTCCATGATGAAATCCCGTAGGAGAAAAAATCCCGCGGCCCGAAAATCCCGTGAGGCCAAAAATCCCGTAGTCCTGAAGATCTCGTATGGTCCAAAAATCCCGTAGGTACGAAAATTCCAATGAGTAATACAAAGTTGTAATATTCTCTCTGGGATACCCTTTCAACTGGTACCGTTCAATCAAAATTTATTTTCACAATTTTGAGGTTTTAACTCCAATTAATTAAGAAAATGCTGCGGTATCGAACAAAAGCTCTAGAAAAATTGGCAGGCAATGGATGATAGAATTAATTGCCGGCGATTTCGCTTTTGAAAAGGAAAACCGATGAATCCTTGATGAACTGCTTCTCTTTTCCATTATTTTTTGTCAGTGAGAGTATTCATTAGAATTTTCTCTTTTTTTTTCAAGATGAGGCTGAGGAATGTCGTTGTGTTTTGCCTCTTATGTCTAATGGAAGTGTCATCTGGTGGCATTTTCGACATCTTCAAGTTCCCCAACAAAGACAGCACTCACCCCGACGATTTGCACGTCGGCAACCGGGTTCGAAACCGACTCAACCTTTTCCGTCAACCCGTTGAATTCGCCATCGACATTGCAATCCCATTCGACGTGTCCAATTTCGGCACGGGTTCCCTGGCCCACATTCCAATGCTGACCATGATCGTGGGTCTGGCTTCTTTTTTCTTGCTTCTCGGAGTATTGGCCACCCCGTTTCTGGCTCTGGTTGACAAAAAGACCAAGAAGTGGAAACGAGACACTACTAGTGATTGTGATGATGACGATGGGCCAGAAACACCAGCGGGAATGACTCTGGGCTATTTGCGCAAACTGCGCAGTTTGGACGTGGAGGACGGATTTGGGTTCATGGGGTTGTCCGGTGAAGACGACGGTTACAGCATCAGCAGTGGGGACGCTGAAGAGAATCTGGATTGCAGAAAATATGTGATTTGCGAAGTGCATCGGCATTTTCACGTTTTGCCGGATTGGGCGCTGAAAGCTGTGTAGGTTGTTGGGTGTGTGTCCATTTTTCTTGGTACAGTATATTACTGTATAATTTAAAGAAAATCTTGGGTCGGCGAGAATATGCATTTTGATCGATAATTAAAATTAAAAAAATCAAATGCATTCTCAACAGGTTACGTATCAAGTATCTTTTCAACTAAATTTCTTGAAGATATATGGTTTGATGCTTAGATTGTTCGAATGAATTTAGTCAAGGCAAAATTTGACTCAAAGTGTCTGCGCTTATTTTAAAATTAGCACTATTTGTTTGTGTCGACAAATTAGCCAACATTTTCAGGTTTTTTCGATAACCATATTGAATACAAGTCAAATACTTTACAGCCGCATAATGATTTCACTTCATTTCTGTAATTCCTTATTGGCGAGATGAAAAGTTTTCCTGAGCATAGATTCGTTTATTACTCGCCGGAAAAGTGCAGAAATATATTAAGAAGGCTTAGAAAGGGAATAACGAATGAAATTTGAAGTTTGGGCGTTTCTTTTGCACAAGTTGTAGCTCTTTTTTTATTCCACAGGAAACGAATGAGGAACATGGCCAAGTACAAGGAAGCTATTCAGGCTGGATTTGAGCTGGAGGATTGTTGGAGAACCTTCCACGGATGCCCAAAAGATTTAGGCCAAATCGACGCTTCTTTGCCAATGAAGATCATGAGGCGAAGTTGAAGTTGTCTTGGTTGTGAAAAGTGCATGTTATGTGTCACATATTCAGTAAATTCTTCTGGTTTTCATAAAGTGCCTGTGAATTTATTTTTGTATTTCCTGAGGTTACACCATGAATTTTTATGAGGATTCACCACAATAACAAAATCATATAAGTTCGCAAAAAGAACATGGAACTACCATAAAAATACTGAAAAATAAATCTTTGTCCAGCACAGCACTGTATTCGATCACTTTAAAAACAATGGACTTCTCAATACATATTACAAATACTGTATAAAACACGTTTGATCAATTATTTTTGCCTGTAGGTGACGTGAAGTGTATTTAAACGCACATGAAATACTACGCGTTAAGTGGACTTGGAATTTACGGCTTGTTCCCCACCAGAGTTTCAACTGTTTATAGTCCATGCTAAATGACAATAACCTTCTGAGAATATTATAATGTGACTCAGCGGGAGAATCGCAAGAATTTTACTTTACGGAACATGAAATTCTTCGTACAAATGTACTTTCTGAGGGTTATTTTTAGACCAGCAGTGTTACCCAACCTTTTTGCTGGGACCATGGACCAGAAATTTTCCAAGAAATAGTTTTTGCTTGAAAGGCAGATATTTTGAAAGTTTCTGGATTTTGGGGGAAAACACCAATGAAGCATCTGTATCTTGAAGTGTCTCTTGAAAATTAGAAAGGCGGGCTTGAGACGTTCCTCAG